AAATTTTGCAAGGGGCAAAGTAACTTTTTAGTTACCGGCTCTAAACGTTGTCATCCATACTTGTCTGATTCGAATAAATCACACGGATATTATATTTTTAACTTCGGTCAGAAAAGGATCAAATTTTAATCCTCAGGTTTTAAAATTAAAAATTTTACGAATTGTGAACTTCAAAATAAATGACATATTTTTGTGAATTTGATAAATTTAGTAAAATTTTGAAATTTGAACGCTTATAGGAAAAAATTTATCCACATAAACGAAAAAGTAGCTAATTTAAAATTTCTTCAAATGGATAAAATATTTTAATAAGTAACTTTATCATGTATAGAAAATGCTTATTTTATTTTATTAGTTATGAGGGCTTAGCCCATTGTACATTAATATTACATATTTGTGGTAACAGAATTCGTTACAAAAAAAAAGAGAGGGAAAAAAATTAAATCTATACAACTATACATTAATACAGAATATATTAATCCAATTACAGTGACTTATGTTATAAATAAATACATTAATAATTTAGCCAATCTTCGAAGGCAGGGTCTGCATTTGAAAACTACATGAGGCATATTTAATTAATATTTGTTGAAAAGTTCGAGTGTCTACATTTATTTATTTTTGAATAAAAGAAATAAATTCGATTGTTTTCATAACCGTTGTTTTTAAGATTTAGATAGGAATGATTTTATGTATTTAAAAGAATTAGAGATTTATTTGACATACAAAATCTACATGTAATCTCCTTTGTACCTACAATCACTTATGAGTTTTGGTATTGAAATATAATATGTGGAGGGACTCTTATAGTTCCCATTTCTCCAAATTAAAAACCAATATGAACAAAGTTATTTTATATATACCTATACTAAGACTGCCAAACTTTTAAGTACAGACCTAATTTACAAAAAGCTCAACATAATCAAGTTTGATAGGCTTAAAAAAAAAATACTTCTTTAAGTTTACAAAAATACAAACTATGTCCGTACTTGTGAGCATGAACATAACACTAGATATAAAAAAAACCTAAACATTAATATAATTAAAACAAATTGGATAATTTTGGTCTTAGAAGTTGTATTAACATTATAGTGGTTGAGATATATCAATCTCTAAATATTATATTAATACATTTAAAAATATGTGTAGCTTTAAAAAATCATTAGTACCTAGGTACAATTTATTAATATAGTAGGTATACTATGGGTATACTACTATAGAGTAAACCTTTTTTTAAAGGTTGATAGAATCTTGTAAAACGTAAACTCTATCTCATATATTTGCAATATTTCTTTTTTTTCTATTTTATATAAGTCTAAATTTCACTTAATCTGTATTTTGTAGTTAAAAATATATATAATGTTCAACTTTTATAGCTAGGAATTGAAAATGTCCACGTAAATAGGTAAATTCGTAAATAATTGTGTGGTGGATGATATCTCTCGGGATATCGTTCAGCATAAAGTGCCGATGCGTTACTCGAATGTTGATGACATTCTCCAAAAATTAATACCCTATCGGTTTTTTCGGAATAGTTTGCCATTGTACAGAAAATAATGTGTCACGCGCGACTTACGTAAAACGTTTGACTATTCACAATCAATTTTAGAATGCTATCAAAATATCGTATTCACACAGGTTAATAGTATAACTTTCATTATAATACTATTAAAAACAAATTAAGATAATAGTAGTAGATAATTTAGTAGTTTTAATAAAAATAAATTGTTATAATAATACCTATAAATACCTATAAATTAAGATAGACCGTTGAAAAATGCAATATTTACAAATTAACAATTTTAAAACTTCCGACCGTCATAAACATGGCAATTTTGAAAATATCAACAAACTGTAAAGATCAAAGTTGTTCAGAAAAAATAAAGAAATCGAAATCCGGTCTCCAAAATAGTGGTTGCTATTTAAGAAATTTTTATTTTACTGCGCATGCGCTGATAAAAAAAAATTAAAAATTTGAATTCATTAAAAAAATATGTATTTATAAGTCCTAAATGCAGTATAAAAACCCTGATTCAAATTCAATGTCACACGATCGAAATATTTCCTGTTACCTTTAAAATTGAACACACGGTATATAAATTATGTAGTTTATTCACAATAATATCAACAATTAATATAGGTACTTAGTAATATCATACGGTGTCTGGCCGTCTTCGCTCAGAATCGTTTTTCTTAAACACTGATATTTTATCATTGAATTCAAATTTAACGCCATCCATTACAGTGATCCATTGGTAACCTACTGTACAGCAGAGCGACACCCACTTGCCGGCCTTTTTTAAGTTGCTTTCAAATGTTTATTAAAAGTATTATTACAAAAATTGAGTGTAAACTGTAAATGTTTTAACAACTATGGTCTTTCGTCTTTGATATAAGTATATAACATATTGCATTGGGTGAAGCACTCTGATAAACATATATAAACAATATATATATATATATATAATAATATATTTTATAATCCCCCCCACCATTGTTGCATGTGGGCCGTAAGCGATCCAAAATAAAACGGTTTGAACTAAAGTTGAAGTCAATTTTAACGGTGAATGAAATAATGGTATTAAATTATAAAAAAATTACTAAAATCGTTATTATTGGTTTAAATATGGAATTTTGTCCAAATTTGAATTTAAAATGTCTGTCAAAAATAAATGTGTTTATATATTTCTCAGATTTTTTGGTTACAGTATGAATTGTTTATGAGAATCATTGTTTTAAATTTTCCACCCTTACTTATAAAAACTGAACATTTTATAATTTTGAACGACGTTCTTTCCAAACACTGAATATCACCATTCACCATTAATCAATGAAGTAGGTACTCTTACAAATTCTATATTAATAATATAGCATAATACATAGTACTACATAAATTGAAGTATAGACGTATTATAGTATGGTATAAATACGTTTACCTTAGTTTTCCAATAATACTTTTGGTTGGACTAGTGTTACATTTATCGACAGATAATAAAGATTAATAGATTAATATCTATTATGCAGATTAATAAGTATCTACATTGTTTGCCTTCGCACGACATGGCAAGTACATACAAAAGTGGTGAACATTTGGCAAGCACGCCAGACGTATGAATGTGATTTAATTATTATTATAATTATACATTATACTATTAAAAAAAACAAGTATTTTTGATCTTGAATACTAAAAAGAAATATATTTAGATAATAACATTTTAATTTTTTTTATTAAACATTACAAATTGGCAATTGCCTATTTGAAACTCCTAATTGAAATTTCAAACCCTTTTTGGTGATATGCTTGATGGCGTGGGTGTAGAATTTGGATTACTGGAGAATAGGTATATTGTGTGATTATTTTTTCCGGATTTCTACGGTCCAGGACTATACAGTCTACGTATTTATTCTTTCCGGGAGAATACGGTCCGTATACGTGAGTATACATTCCGGATTTCTACGGTCCGTGGCAATACGGTTCGATTATTTTTGAATTCCGTAATTATACGGTCCGGTATATTACGGGTTGTGTGATTATTTTATTCCGGATATCTACGGTCCGGGACTATAATTATTTTTTCCGGATATATACGGTCCGTTATATTATTTTCCGGGATTTTACGGCTCCCCGTCTGGCCGTCTTCGCTCTGAATCGTTTTTCTTATACACTGATATTTTATCATTCAATTCAAATTTAACACCATCCATTACAGTGACCCATTTGTAACCTACTGTACAGCAGTGCGACACCAACTTGCCCGCCTTTTTTAAGTTGCTTTCAAATGTTTCTTAAAAATATTATTACAAAAATTGAGTGTGAACTAAGTTGCTTTCAAATGTTGCTTGCGACTTAAGTTGCTTTCAAATGTTTATTAAAAATATTATTACAAAAATTGAGTGTGAACTGTAAATGTTTTAACAACTGTGGTCTTTCGTCTTTGATATAACATATTGCGTTGGGTGAAGCACTCTGAGGGATATTTTGAACGAGGGATATTTTGAGGGGGAACCATAAACATATATATATATATAATATTCTTTAATCAACCCCCCCCCCCAATATTGTTGCATGCGGGCCGTCAGCTATCCAAAATATGACGGTTTGAACTAAAGTTGAAGTCAATTTTAACGGTGAATGAAATAATGGTATATTGTCAGTTTTTATAAACCGTACAATAGTCTTATAGCAGTCGTGTGTATATGGCTAAGTGCCGATGAAGGTTATCTGGCCTCAACGGCTCTGGCACTTCTTATTATGCTGTATGTCCTTTGATACATATTATAGTTTACGTAAACGATGTAAGCACCTGGCTCTCACGCTTCTAATGCTATTTTAATATAGTCGCCAAATTTTAGAAGGACAACTGGTTTGTAAGTGCGTTTTAGCTGGCACTTTTATGGTTAAATTTTATTAAACCTACGAATCTAATGATTTAAATACATGTTTTTAATAATTATTCGAATTTCAGCTTATACATTGTAAAATGTTAATGGATATAGTATGTAGCACGTTATCCTCAACAAAATATAATAAAATATAATATAGTATAGGTACCTAATATAATATAAATCCGTAGAATAAACGCACTCTAGGACATGTTTTATTAATTGAAAGACGGCAATATTTTTTTTTAAATTATTATCGACTGATTAGTGATTTGTAAAAACGCATAGAGTGAATCTTAAAGACAAACAAAATTTAAAAAATGTAGTGTATGAATTAAAAACTTGATATTGTTTTCAATAAAAAAATAACTAGATTTTTACTGATTTTATAACATACCTACTTTATATAATATTTTAAAGTATGAATGAGGGGGGGACAAAGATATTTTTCAGAATATAAACTTAAATTTCAAGGAATTGTTAATTACATTCGAAAGAGGGTCGTGATGATGAACACAATAGATTTCTTATAAAAAGTGCTGTAAATTGATTTAGTAATAAAAGACCTGTTTTTGTTGTGATAGATACTTCTATTAAGTTTAAATTAAATTTTAAAGATGTTTAATATAAATGTAAACAAAAAATTGATACCAATAAAAATGAATTGTTTCCTTCTCTATGGATGTAAGTACCTACGTATGATTAACTACTTTGGATAAACAGAAATAAAATTGTTTTTAAAGCAGTACTTTTTAATTGCTGCAGTAGACTATATCTCGTCATTGATACATTGACTTACACTGGAAAGGATGTATTCAATTTGAGTTCAATATAAATCATTGTATATTAAAAACAATTTTTTTGGTCTGAATAGGTTTGTCGTATAATATCTAATAGCTAAAAATGTAAGCACATATTGTGAACATTTCTTCGTGTTTAATAAATATTAAATAATAATGTACGTAGGGACCTAATAGTTTTGATTTAAATTCTTACGATTATATTATATTTAATTACAACAAAATTACTACAATCGTAATTTTTTGTTGATTTATTCAATTTTGTAAAAATGTAATGTCTATAAAAAAAAATTGTCGGAATACGAAGTTTAGGGCTTTTCAGGTCATATTTAATCTTCACTCATTAGCTATTAATGTTCTCAATTTTACAAATTTTAGATTCTGAGCGGAGTGATAAATGTATTAATTTTACAATGATAAGTGTTTTTTAATTTTTTTTTATTTCTTGTGTATGTGCACACTATAAGTAGTCGAAATAATGCTTTGATTTTAAACTTCAGTATCTTGTTCAATGTGTAAGTGAATCTAGTTGGTACATTGGGGAGGTTAAATAATAAATACTAGACACTATAGTCTATAATTTAGTTTAGAGTTGGTGAAAAATTAAGTACGCTAGTGTTGAATAAACAATTTAACTTTTTTTTAACTTAATAAAAATCTAACGAAAGTTTGTGTTAACTTTTAACTTAACCCAGTTAACCTATAGTTAAGTTAACTTTTACTTTTTGTTGTTGTTACATATTAACTTAACTTAAAAACTAACAAAAAATTGTCAATGTATTTTTTTTTAAATGTTCTACTGTCATTGTAACAAAATATTAGAATCTTTTCAACCTTTTTGAACTATAAAAAAAAATTTAACTTTCATTTATAGGGGAAAAAAACGAAAAAAGTCGCTCTGCTGTACAGTAGGTTACAAGTGAGTTACTGTAATGGATAGTGTAAAATTTTAATTCAATGATATAATATCATTGTATAAAAAAAGCGATTCTGAGCGGAGACGGTATGTCAGTCTAGGTATAAGACAAAGTATATATATTTATTATTTGATGATGTTATTTTAAATAAAGTAATTTATATATATTATATGACCTATTTACTTGGTATCTGTTTTAAATTTTCATACCTTAGATATTAAAATTGAACATTTTATACATTTTTAACTACAAAATAATTATTCAACTTTAAATTTGATAAATATTGTCAAAATTCGATCTTTAAATCAAATAAAAAAAAATTGTGCTTATGTATTTTCAATATTTTTCAACTCATTGTAACAATATATCAGGAGCCTTGTATTAAATTTTTACACTTTTTGGCCCAAAAGATAAAATTTGATTGATATTCATAGAAAAAAAAAATAAAAAATTTAAATATGAAATTACCCGTCCACAACTCATAACATGTAAAAATATTTTGAAAATTTTAACATGTATAAGAATTGATAAAATAAACATTCAGTGAAATTTTCATGTAGGTATCTAGAGTCATTCGTTTTTGAATTATATAAAAATAAGAAAATCGTTAGAAAATCGAGTGAATAACACATTTTGTAAAATTATGAATTTAAAATGGTTACAAAAATGTAATTTCACTTAATGTTAGACATCTTTTTAGGTTATGAAAAATTTTGTATTACATTTTAAAATCGTAAATTTAAAAAGAAAAATTGTTATGAATTTCTAACTAAAAATAATTTGCAAAATGTTGTGTTTTTTCCGTATTTTGTCAATACAGTCGAATTTGCTTAATTGGGACACATCGGGCCTATTATATGGCCTATTTGTCCCCATTATCCCGACTGTCCTGATTAACCGAAAAATTTTACATACAATACATTCATTCTGGACTGTCATTAATGTCCCCATTAAGCAGGTGTCCCCTTTAAGCGGATTTTACTGTATTTAAACTTTAAATGCTTATAAAAAAAAAAAACTGTTGCTAAGGATTTTTAATATTTCATTGTCACAACATAATAAGAGCTTTGTATTAAATTTTCAAGATTTTTTACCTAACAAATAAAGTTTTATTGACATTCATAGAAAATAAACCTAAAAATGTTGTAAACTGAGTATATCCGTAATGAACAGCTCAAAACCTATCAAAATATTTTGAAAATTTTTTCGTGTATAGAAAATTCAAATATAAATGACTAGTGAAAATTTCATGTACATACGTTCATTTGTTTTAGAGTTAAAGCAAAACCAAAATCGATTTTGTGGAAAACTGATTTTGGGCAAAAATTCCCGTTTTTCTTTAATTTTTCTTTTGTTTTCCGTACTTCTTAAAACTATTGGGAATTTTAAATTTTGACCTCTCAAAAGTTTCAACTAGATTCACATTCCCATCGAACAAGATACTGAAGATGATAATCGAAGCATTATTTCGACTACTAATCGTGTACACAGACACAAAAATTAAAAAAAATTAAAAATTAAAACACAAATCATTGTAAAATCAATACATTCATAGTTCTACTCAGAATATAATACACGAAAAATATTTTGAACTTTTAGATAGGTACATCTAATACGCATACCTCATAATAATAAAATAAATACAAATTATTGAAAATGTTTTAATATTTTACGATCCTTCTCTTACATAATAACATGACATTAATTTTTTAGTTAATTATTTTTTTGTTTCGCACAGGTTTAGGTCCTATAGTTGGTTTTTTACCTACCATAGCAAAACAATTGGGGTACTCAATAACCACTTACGGTGTTGCCATGACTTTTATATCGATGATAAAAATGGTAATGTCACCTCTAGCTGGTATAATCGTCGACACATTCCGGGTGAAAAGAATGTTATTTTTTACGATGACACTATTGCTGGTTGTGATTTCAATTGTCTTCATGTTTATACCAAAAGTGCCTTTGGAGATAGGCGTGGAGATGAAATGCCAATCTGAAATTATATTGATTGTTCATACCGATACCGTTCAACAAAGTACACACAACACTTCGATGTTTAACGACGAGAAAAATGATGAACTGATCACATGCAAGGTGAGACTAAACAATATTATAAAAAATACTAAAATGTGTATGGACTTGGAACCATTTGTTTCAACAATAATTGTTTATGTTCAATAATGATTGTATATTTCTGCGTTGTAAAGTCGTTTAAATTGTGTGTCAGTCTGTCAAAATTAAAAATAATAAAATGTACAGGGTGTCTGACAAATATTAACTAAAATTAAAATTAAAACGGTAAATAGTTGATTAATTAGGAATTAAAAAGCACAGACTAGACTGTTTTTTTTTTTAGCTTAAAATTGTTTAACGTTATTATTAACTAATATCATGAAGTATATTTTATGTAGATTACTCTATGTCTCTATACGTATGTCTTTTTTCTTTTATTGATCTCGAAAAAAATCATCCGACGTCTAAGGTCATTAGTTAGGTCATTAGTTACAATGTTTCTGGTGTGTTTTTTTTTATAACGATGATACATTTGAGTAGTAGTATAATCTGGTGACATATAGGATATAGTTCTGATAGTTACAGTATTTACAATATTTACACGCGTGTACTGATAGAATAAAGTTATAAAACAAATATAAAAATATTATAGCAAACAAACAAAAGAAAGATAGTCTTCAATCAAATTATAAAGTTCTGTTGCTTTTCGAAAATCGATCATTTTCCGAGTGCTGAGTCGAGGGTCCCTTATTAGATTTCAATTCTTTGATGAAACAGTTCATACTTTTGACCTTCCATTACGACCTACAATCTGAGGGTCTTCAATTGCTTGGTGAGAAATGGATGGGCATACGTTACATAATATAATTATTATCATGGGCAGGTTCATAAGTCTACGTATTTGAATAACATGATCGCCAATATTAATATTTCTTGTAGTTTGCTTGAATTTGTCCAAGATTTGTCTGTTGAACAAAAAAATAAAAAATTGGTTATTTGATATTATAATATTATGTTTTTAGGTAACTTACCTAAGGTAAGACTAATTTTCCGTTGCTCAAATGTATTCTATTTGATTCAGTTTTGAATTAGTGTCAGACTTGATTGCAGTTGTGACGTGCGCGTTATTAGCAAGAAAGTATAGTGCTCTTGTTATCGGTGCTCTGGGAGGAGTTGCTGGTGGTATTAAGAGTAGGCAGTGGTAGATCCAGGGCTTAATTTTTAGGGATGTAATGTTGTGGAAAAAATACAAAAAGTACAAAAATTGGTAGAACACAGTGTAAAACATAGGAAAACTACGGTGATTGGGGGTTTCCCTCTTTCTCCCTGCTGGATCGGCCCCTGCGAGTGGGAGAGGCTCTACGAGTAGTATCCGCTACTGTACCTAGTAGTATTGGATGACCAAGGAATCGAAGATTTTTTAGTGTTTTATTTGCTTGATGATGATTGGATAGATTTAGATAAGATGTTAAGGTTTGAGCTTTTGGGTCTTGAATGTTTATTAATTGTTCGCATGATAAGGTATATATAACTACAGAGGAGATTGAAATTCACAAAATGTCTCTAAATTTCGGTGGATATTTGAAATTTTTAAACACGTATACAAATTTAGTTCATGTTATTCAGCTGACTTGTCCAAATACGAAGTCGTGTGACCATAATATAAATAAATCGAAGAACCAATCAGATATCAGTGATTATTGGATGACAACCAACAATAATGATATCAAAAAAATAAACGATCGTAGTCAAATCGATGTTACATTAAAATTGAAAGATATGGAACAAGTAATATTATAATTATCTTTTATTCAAATGTATTTGTTAATATTCAATTAATTTGATCTTAGACTGAAAGTTCATATGTTTTCCACTTGCTGTCCGTCCAAATGAATGGTACGGACATTCCTCTAACATGCGATTGTCGTTTAAAAACATTTTGCCACATCTCATGTTCTAATGAAGACATCATGCGAATATCTACTGTGCCGACACACAGAGGAAACGTTCTTAATTTGTATCAATTTTGGATTTTTTTCATAACTGTGACTGTGTTTTGGTCATGCAAAGCTATATCGGCAACTTTACAAGGCTCACTATGTCTGGATCTTTTAGGTAAAACATGATACAACAATACCAATGTCAATAATATTTTTGTAGTTAAAATAAAAATGATATCTCAATTTATTTTTAGAAGACAAACCTGAGGATATTGGAAAACAAATGTGTTGGACATCATTCGGTTGGGGCAGTTTTTCCATATTCATCGGATGGCTTGTAGATTGTTTTAGCATTAATAAAAAGGAAAAAGAATATTCACCAGTTTTTTATTCGGGTCTTTTTCTCTCAATTTGTAATTTATTTGTCATAAGCAAACTTAAAGTAAGTTATTTCCTAACTCTATGCTATACATCATAATCTATATATTATAATACTCAAGTGAGCTGCTTATTAAAAAAAAAACAATCTATTGTCCTGTAACTTATAGGTAATCGAAACGAAAAAAACCGAAGGAAAATGGAATAGTATATATGGACTGTTAACTAAACATTATGTGATTTTATTTTATATATGGGTAATATTAATCGCATTTCTCCATACAATTATTACACATTTTCTATTCTGGTGAGTTTATAATTGAAGACACTTTTTTACTATTACATTTAACTAGCTTGTAATTAGTTTAAGTATTTTTTTTTAATCATATTGAGTACCTATTTATAATATTATAATCTCTTCGGTGTGTAAACAGACAAAATATCACGGTAGGTGAGTGTCGAGTGTCTTTGATTTAGGCATGTACTGCCTACATAATGTAGAAGGAAGATATGAAAATTAAAATTTAATGTTTGTCTACTGTTGGGTACAATCCTCATAAGTAATAATTAGTCAATTTGTAGAGCTCGAATTTACTTTTTTTTTTTTTAAAACAAATATTAAATACTCACACTGAATATTCATTAAAAGTTTCATAATAAAGCACATTTACATTATTTTCACCAAGTTATTAATATATTGTTAAGAATATGATGAACAACATGCGTAAATCAAAGCTTTGGCTTAATTTCGGTAAGTCAATTTTTAAGACAGGAAAAAACTTTTTAAGTTAAAGTTCCAAAAAATAATTTAAATAATTCAAACTCAAAAATAGATGTTATATTAAGCAAGGCTTTGCATTAACGAGTTAAATAGTTAAAGTTAAGTCAAAAAGTTAATTTAATTTGAACTTTTTAACTTAACTAGTTACTTTTGAATTTTCATTAACTTAACTGTTAACTTACTAAATGTCTTTTTTGAATAACTTGAAATGAACGAATTAAATTTTAATTTTAAGAAGTAAGTTAAGTTAATTCATTTTGTTTTGAATTTTTTTATATTTCACTATATTTCGTATCAAAAAGTATTTACCGTGAATTGTTTAAAGTTCAAAACGTATATCGTTCGAATCTAACTTATATGGAAATAAACTGTATAAAGTATAAAAACTATAGTCTATAATTTAGTTTTGGGTTGAAAAAAAATTAAGTAATCTAGCTTGGTATAAGCAAGTTAACTTTTTTTAAACTTAATAAAATGCTAGCAAAAAGTGTGTGTTAACTTTTAACTTAAAGGAGTTAAGCCATATTTAAATTAACTTTTACATTTTAACTTTTTGTTATTGGTGCATATTAACTTAACTTAACTGAGTTAAAAAAAAAACATTAACTTTCCCAACCCTGATATCAAGTAATTTTTGCAATAAAAAAACAGAAAATTAAATTCAACGTCATGTGTTTGAAATATGTAGTGTTACCTTTATCTTTATTTACACTTTTTAGTGTGACGTTGACCTAATTTTTGAAGTCTATTTCATATAGATATATTATAACATAATATTATTGGTGGTTACTGTATGTTTGCCGTCCATATACATTTGTATGAAGAGATTTTCGATCATCACATATACACATAACTACAAAAATGATTATTTACACGTCTTAAAAACGATTGCGTTAAAAATGTCCTAGAATCCCTTATCCCTAGATTATGATAAAGTTGATTAGAGATTTGGCAAAATAATATTTGACTCTATGGTATGTACTATAATATTATTTCATTGTTAAAACATTTTAACACTAGTGTTAATAATTATTAATCAGGTACATGGAGGATTTAGTTTCTGCTAACAATGACCACAGCCAACGGGCGTGGCTAAAAACGCTTCAAGGTATAGCTCAATTCATCCAATGTTTTGGCGGTGAAATACCATTTTATTTCTGTTCTGGATGGGTAATCAGAAAGATGGGTCACATTAACTGCATGGTCATAGTGATGGGAGCCATGGCTATCCGATTGTATCTTTACACAGTCATCTGGAATCCAGCTTGGATCATTGCAATAGAGCTGTTGAATGGCGTGTCGTATGCATTGGGAACATCGGTGAAATTGTCGTACTCGAAAATTATGTCACCCGAGGACTCAACGAACATTCTAATGGGAATTTTAATACTTCTCGATGGCATAGGTAAACTGTGAATATTGTTTTATACACTAGAGATTTAGTGTTTCTATAAAGCAAGAAAAAATGTACCAACAAAAAAAAAAAATTAAGAAATCCATTTATAGTAGTATTCACTCATTATCGATTTATAATACCATGAAAAATAGAACAATTTTCATCGGGAATGATCTCACAAATAATAAAAAATAAAAAAGGTGGGCAAGTGGGTGTCACTCTCAATATTATTTAATTTTTCAATACCAATTTATTTCTAAATTATAACCAAAAAAGTTTATTTTCTACTATTTATTTTACGAAATTTGAGTCTTATAACTGATTTTTTTTTAATGTATTTGGATACGTCCGGACCGTTCCATACGATTTTGAGTCTAATAAGCGACTGAACTTTATATCCATGATTCTTATAAGCGGCATCTACTGTATATATAATGTATATCACATTAAAAATATTTGCACAACTAAATATATTTACAGAACTTTTTATAAAAAATATGTGTTCAACACGACCCTTTTTCAAATTAAATAAACAATTCCTTAAAATATAATATACATATAATATTATATTTATATTATGAAAAATACCTTTGTCCCCCATCCCATTAATACTTTAACATGGTATAAGAAGTAGGTAGGTAATAAAATCAGTGAAAAACTAGTAATATTATTATTGGAATGAATATCAAGTTATTAAGTATAAATATTATATAATTCAAAATAAGACTTCCCTGCATAATTCATTATACCATTTCAATGAAAATTATATATGTAAAAATAATATATACGCATATGTATAACATTTTTACAAGTTAATCTTTCAATTTAAAATGTAACTTTGATTTGATTCGTTATTTAAAAACATTATACTTAACATGATTTTAAAATAGATTACGTTTTACAGGTCAATCTTTAGGTAGTCTACTGGGCGGATTTTTATTCGGATTATACGGTGGAGTGTGGTCATTTCGATTTTTCGCTTACAGTTCTGCTTTGATGTGCTTTTTAAACATACTAAGCAATCATTTCGGGTTGACTAAAGATTTGACAAATAATAATTTTAACGCAGTGCCTATGACAGAAAATAACCAGAAAAATGATGAAGTTGATATCAACATTTAATAATGATTTATTTATTTTTATTTTATATAAAATTGAAAAAAAAAAATGAAATGTTATTATGCAGAAAAATTCTATCATATTAAAATAACGAATAATGTTTTATAATATAATAGTACATTTGGCCTACATCACTTTGTCACACAAACTTCAACAACTTAGGGACCACCAAACAATTGAAAATTGACTGTTGTTAATACATTTTAGATTTTCTATTATTACATACAATCGTTTTAGATTCTGAGAGGATCGATGAATGTACAGTGTACACACGATGATTAATCAATCGAAATAATTCTTCGATTTTTAACCAGCGTAACACTAAAATAGGTGGACCGTCCACTGTCAAAGAAATTAAAAATCAAGCTTAAGCTAATAATGAATTATTATTTAATCATCATTAAAAAAGTGGAAAAGTGTGTACCTACTTTTATAAATAATCTAATATTTAAAACCCACTGAATATCAAATATCGTTAAAATTTTAAAATCAAACTCATTTACGCTTATAAAAAATTAATGTTACCCCAATGTTACAAGTCGGTTGACCGTAGCCTCGTACTTGTAGAGTTTGTAGGTAGATTTAGTAAATAAAGTAACACACACGTTTACTATTCAATTAATAAAGTTTATTGCGTTCTGAACATATGCAGACAATAGCACTCTCCATTCTCCACCCCCGTCTTAACATCTTGACGTTCCTTATATCTAAACTTATCTAGGACAATCCCTCCTATATGAAAGTGCTTACTTGCAGTTTTCGGGATTGTGCCTGTTTACACTAATTTACAATAATCAATCTATTTCATAATTCTAAATGTTTTACAAATACTGCTACATCCTTACTTACTTCCTATGTTTAATAATACTAAACCATAACATTACTTTCTGGTGAAATTTTTTTTTATGAATTTAGAAAAACTCGTAGAGACTATTCTATTCAAATTTATTATGCTAGCTGTAAAAAAAATTAATATTCATAAATTTCTAACTAAGAAATAATTAATAAATTTGAGGGATTTTGAAGAATTTAAACTTTAAATACACTCATAAAAATAATCGTATTTTTTTTAATAATGTATTTTTAATATTTTTGAGCTGATATCAAAAAAAAAATTACAAGAAATCTTGCCAAAATAGTTTAAATGATTTGCTTAACATTTTTCGAGCTTGTCTTTTTAATTCACCAACTTTACCAAATTATGCTAAAAGCCTAAAACAATAATAATTTAAACACAATATAAAAATTAAGGCCCCCGCAAACCCTATTAATTTTTCATCAAAACGATCTTAGGGACTGACAAAAATTAAAGTACTTCTAGCTGCTCGATTTAAAAAATGTAAAGATGTTTGTGTTGGTTAACAAGTCTATTTTGCAGCGGTGGGAGCATATTTTTTATATTGTAGATATCTTTGAATATATTCAATAATAAAAATTTATAAATTTACAAAATGTAAAATCTTTATTCGGCAAGAATTTTGATAAAATTGAAAAAGTGCTTGAAAAAGTTTTAATGTTTTAAATAATGAAAAAATAGCTTATAAAATAAATAAGTAGTAAGTAATAATAAGTGAAACTTCACTGTATGAATAGGGCAATAAATATTATATAAATGTACGGAAATAAAGCAGATATTTTATAAAAATTAAAAATGTCCTGTATTTTGGAAGAGTTCTACTTACTTCTCAAGTCCTTGGTCGCTGCTGTGCTCTAATCCAAGATTTTGATCTCCATTTTGCGATTTAATGTTTTCCGGTGCACACAGTGAGTAACTGACAAATGCAATAGCCAAAGCAATTGACGAGAATAGAAAAAAATGAATTTAAATCACAAATATATTAGTCCATCAATTTAGTTAATTAATGTACTTATAAGTTATGACATTTATTATAGTAAATTATTTAAGTCGTAGAATAGGTATAGGTACTGGTGTACTGATATTTTCATATTTATTGTAACTACCTAGTAAGTATATTATTAAGTGACATCGGAGACTATAGTTTGTTTTCTAAAATATAAGTTTGGTTTATATATCGCACTGTCAGTACAATAAGGCCATAACTCAAAAAAAGCAAATGTTCAGGAAATCAATATGAAAGTTTTGAACAAAATGACAATTTTTTTATCAAACAAAAAATTATGTTCAGGGTTAAGATACATATTTATAATTTTGTTGTGATTATAATCAAGTGATTTTTATCCTTGTAAATATCTTTAATTTTGTGTGATTTCAACTTGAAGGAACAAAAATTGAAAATTTTCTAGTTATGACATTTTTGCTCTACCTTTTAAATTGATTTTAGTTTTTAATACTATTTTGGCCATAAACAAAATATTTGCAATATTAAAAATGATGATTTAATTAATATAATTATATTATTAAATACGCTGATGTTGACTCTAAAAAACACTTAAACTAAGAATAAAATAACAGCATAATATAATATTTAGTTAATAAATTGAACAACTTCAGTCTCTTGAATATTTGATTATTTTTTAGCAATATTGACATTGAATTATAACAATTTGTATATTAAATTATTATTATTACAAAATAATATTATAATTTTAAAATTATAATAATAATATCATTTTTTGTATTAAAATAAAAAATAAATAACATCTCTTCTGTCTCTTAGTTTCCTTATTATTTAAAAAAAATAATTTTTCCTCAATGTATCAATATCTTCTACTGTGGTAGTGTAGTTGAGAATTGATAATCATAGAGAGTAGAATTATTATATTTTATATATTCTCTTAAAAAATATTTTAATAAATTAGGTATACATTTTGTAACAGTCGTATGACGTTAATTCAATAATACATAAATAATATTAATACTTAAGTTAGCAAAATACAAGTTTTACTGTATATTATAATAAATTATTAAGTAATTACTGTCTTACTCCGTTTTCCTTTATGTGAAGTAGCTCTTTTAGGGGTTTTAATAGATATTTTTGCATCACACTAACTTAAAAGTTTTTTAACTTAACCACGAAAAGTCGTTATAGTTATTATAATAGTACAAAAATATACACAATTTAAAAATGTTGAGTATGACTAGAGTACAAATGAGTGTAATAAATGAATGATAATAATATTTTAATATTATTATTGTTATAACTTATTCTATATAGATCTGAAAGTTTGATTGTTTTAAGTTGCAAAAGCGCCATATTTCAATATATATTTTTATTTTTTTCATTTAACTTAAATTCATACATACATGGGCCCCACTGAAAGAACTCATCATTATCAAAAAATATGGTCTTATTGTTCTGACCCTATGTACTTGTTTCAGTTGTAAGGTAACAGAATTTTGACCCTCTTATAATATTGTCCCCATGTCATTTAATATAATTTTATTCTTTTTTTTTGATATCAATCCACCCGCGCGCAGCTGATACAGTGAATCGACCGATATTATATAACCACCTGTCCCCCGATCCCCACCATCTGCAGTGTCCCGTCGTTGACGTTCGTCGCTGGCTGTCGGTCGCCGCCGCTGGGCGCGTCCGTCGTGTCCATCGGTGTGCGTCGGCAGAGCAGTCTGTACTGAAATTCCCTCAAATTATTGTAAATTCCCCTCAATCACCCACACTGCTCTACCCCACCTCACACCGTTTTCAACAACGACGACCGTTGCGGCCCATGGCTCGCTGCGATGAACCAACACCAAAATTTTTCTTCTACTACTGACCTCTGAATAAGCAAGACGTTTTGCTTTTAATTCACGTCCGCAACATCTCTATCCTGCGCTCCGACATCAACCACGTGCGTTCAACAGATTTTTGGTTTTCACAATATTTCCATCGACGTCCAATCAACATGATGGGCTAACCGATACCCGTCGGGCTGTGGCGGCCATATCAACCATGCTGCGGAATACATTTGTTCTTTCGTTCATCATGTGAGTGGCTGTCTTCGACGACCAGGTGGGCCATGCCGGCCGCGTGTGTGCCGGTGGCGTTCGCCAGCCCACCCCTCATCATCGAAGACCAACACTTCATCTCAACATCAACACTGCCGCTACTACTGTGTCGTAACTATGATATTTCCCCACACCATCCCCCGTTAGTTTCCCTCCGGATTATAATTTTTATTGTTTGTGTGACACCACTAAAATAACGTGCTTAGACGGCACAGGCCGGCCGCAGATCGCCTTGCTCTGGCGCTGACCGTGCCCGGTGATTTTATTAAAATGTAAAAGCGTCTATATGACGTTATTAACGTATCTCCACCTATTTCCCTCTTTAATTTGTATTTGCCCTGGGCCACCATATACCTCATGTATGTGATGTGCGCCACCTTATTGTATCTTTATTTTTTCTTGTATTTGCCATGTGCCATGTTATAGTAGTTATACTTTTATTAACTTATATCTACCTTTGTGTACAATACACTCGTGTAATTACCCTGAAAATCTCTGTTATTATTTATTTATTAGTTCAACTTATTTCCCCCCATAAATCTTGGGCTTTCATTAGCCCATGCGTGTATAAAACCTGTGAGTTCCACCGACTTGACCCTCGGGTCTCACGCGGTGCGGCTCACAGGTCACGATCGGAGTGTTCCCCTTCGGTCGTGGGTAGTTTTTGTGTCGTCAAAAAACACAAATCCTTACACAGTAAACGAACACATTTCGATTTACGACCAAATTGTAGGTACTTAGGAACTTAACATATACGTCCAATGCAATAAAGATTTTCAGAGAATATTATTATTATTAACATAAAGAGATAGATGACACCGTTAACACAAAAATCATAAATTGTAGTTGTGGCCTTATTGTACTGACAGTGCGATATCTGTGTGTAATTATTAAATAAATATTTTTTAAAGTAAAAGAAAAATATACCACTACCACGTTTCAATGAGTTTTTACAAAATTTGTAATATAGACGCTTATAAAAATAATCATGCCTATGTAGGTATCATTAGTATTTTTGAACTGCTATTAAAGCATCTAATAAGAAAACATGTTTATAAATAGGTCATAAACA